CGTGACGAACTCAGACTTGACTCTTGAAAAGACGAGCAATTCGAAGTTCGAGCTCCTCTTGAAGCTGAAGTTGTCGAGCTTTTCTGGGCTCGATTTGATCTACTCTGCGGGCTTGATGGTGCTTGCATCATCATTCGAGTGGCAGTTTCTCGTGAGCTCGATTGCAAATTTCAGCTCACGTAAATCGCAATACCATAAAACAAAGACAACAGCAGCAAATTCCTACCCTTCAAACTTATTTCACCTTTGCCATTGTCGTCTTCACTTCTTCAGACAACAAATCTGAAACGCTAGTCACGCCACCGTTGTTTACCTACTGCTGTCCACCCTTCAATTTGAGACCTTCATTGAGCTTGGGTTCTTCACACCACAAAGTCTGAGACACCACTGTTGTCTAGCTTCATTCAGCAACTGCCATCCAACGTTCATTTGCCCTTCAATGAAGCTACTGCAAGGTAGAATCCCAACGAAGCTGCTGCACACTTAGATTCTCAGGGAGCTTCCATTTCTTAATTACTTTGTTTGTTTATTGCAAATTGATATGCCATAGGCTAGTTTTTTCAACTACAATCTGGATTAGCAAATTCACATGTTGTCTGGAGGGTAATCATATTTCTTCTCACAAGAATTGATTGTGTCTCGACTCTTGACCATGTCCTTGTATTGACTCTTATCTTTGAAAAAGCTAGATCTATGTGAGACAATGTAAATTGATCTGTGTGAGGAAGCCTGATGTGCTAAATAACAATTTTTTTTTTTTTTAATCTTTTTAATGATCAAAGAAATTCAAAATAATAGGTACAAGATTATGTGATTATCAATTTGAATGTGCTTAATAACCTGTCATTATTTGTTTATTCTGAATTTGTCTTCTTAGTGACATGATGTTTTCTAATTGCTCTGTTTGCATATGATTGATACGTGTTATCAATCTGATGGTGTCTTGACTCTTGACCATGTCAGATTATTTTTGCTAATACCAATTTCTAATATACTCTGTTTGCTAATATTTTAAACCTTTGTTCATAATGCTTATCTCAGATTGTTTTGCAGAGGGATTTGATAATTCTAATGGAGCCGTCATCTACCCCCAATCGAACGCAGCCTTCACTTACGAATGCAACCAACAGATGATATATTTGAAACTTGGACTGATGACGAGGCCACACACCCACACCCACACCCACAACAGCACCTACTTCTCATAATGTTACTGATGTTGATGCTTCTACCCTCGTACCAACGAGGAGCAAGTTAATCATTTTCAGAGGAAAAGAGACCAAAGACATCAGTAGTGTGGAATGAATTTAAAGAGGTAGTTGTACCGGATGGTTCTACAAAGGGAAAGTATGTTTATTGTAAGGCAAAGCTAGCAATACGGAGACCATGAGCACAACTCAGTTTGCAAGACATCTGAAATTATGTTTGAAGCGAATAGGTACTTAGAGGCAAACATTGTTGTTTTTCTGGCCAACCAGTTCAACGATGAAGTCTCAATGTAATCTGCACTTGCATTTTAGATGCCAAGTTTGATATGGCCAAGATGTGGGAACTAGCTACTAATTGGGTGCTCATGCATGAGCATCCATTTACAATAGTGGAGGAGGAGGGTTTTAGCATAATGCAAAGATGTGGTACGCCACTATGGGAGAAGATCACGCAGACTGCTTTGAAACAACATTATGTGCTGGGATGAGATACAAAGAAGAGTTGTTTAATTTGCTTAAGAATATCAACAAGATTAGTTTGACAACTGATATATGGATTCTTCTAATCAGAAGCTTTAGTACATGGTTCTCACCAGACATTTTATAGATAATGATTGGAAGTTGCAAAAGCGTGTGCTCAATTTTGTTCGTATACTTCCTCCTCAACCTAGTGCTGAGATTGCTGCTGCTATTCTAAGTGTCTAATAGAATGGGGGATTGAGAACAGTGTTTAGTATCTTGGTTGACAATGCTTCAAGTAATGATGCAGCAATCAAGATTTTGAGGGAGAATTTAGGAAGAAACAAGAAGCTAATGTGTGGGGGGAAGTGTTTCATGTGCGTGCGCGACACATATATTGAATCTTATGGTTCAGGATGTGCTTTCCCAAATTAAGCCCATCATTCAAGATATACGTGACTGTATTTTATATGTCAAGCAATCAAATTCAAGAGTGATTATGTTAAAGAGATTGTTCAGATGCTGCAATTGCCACAGTGGAAACTCATACTTGATTGCAAAACGAGATGAAATTCTACTTATGAGATGTGACACTTGCAATTCAGTACAGAGACGTGGTTCCAATGTTGGTTCAATTGGATAATAACTTTACTTGTGCCCCAATAGATGAAGTTGGGAAAAACTTGAGAAAGTGTGTGAGATTTTGGAAGCCTTCAACTCGCAACTAATGTCATCTCGGGGAGTGAGTACCCCACTTCTAACTTATTTTGCAAGAAATTTGTGACATAAAAGAGTTGCTAGATGAAAAGTGTTCTGATGTGAGATTTCATTCGATCAATGGAAGGAAAGATAAAAGGAAAGTTTGACGTATTGGGGGGATGCAATTTGTTAATGGCAATTGCAGTTGTATTGGATTTGAGGATGAAAATGGTTGTTGCAATTGGCTACCCACAATTCTTTCCTAATGAAGAAGCACAAGACAAAATGATGAATGTGAGCTGCCTTGTGAGATTTATCAAGAATATGCGGCGGAAAGTCAATCTTCCACCAGTGAACCACCTGTACAAATCAGTTAGGATTGGCGGGTGAATGTACAACGCCTTAAACATACTAGTTCACAGTTCTGTGAGTTTGTTAGGACAACTCAAAGGTGCAACATGAGAAATCAGAAGAAGGTGTTTGTTATGAGACGAGGATGATACTTCGTTTGATGCGTTAGACTATGGAAGCTTAATCAAATGAACTATCATATTTATCTACGATGGCTCGAAATACTTGCCATTTCAATCACCACGATCACTTCAGAGGCAACTTTCAGTGTGGGAGTCGAGTTAGTGACACTTATCGATCATCTTTCGTATAATATATAATCCAAGTACTGCTTAATGATTCTTTTGCTTCTTGTTTGGTATTTGATTCTTAATTGGTTTGGTAGTAGGATCTTTGATTGATTTGTTTTTCTACTTTTACCCTTTTGACTCTAGCAACAAGAAAAAACTAGTCTAGTGTTCGAATGGAGTCCCTCTAACATTAGAGCATTAGAGTAAAATTGTTTTTAATAAATATTTATTATTTCTATTTTATATACATTTATTATTCCTCTTTTAAAATTTTCTATTTATTTCTTAGTTTTATAATATATAATTAGTAGATTTTTTTGTTAGTTTGAAGAAATTAATATTTAATTTGTAACGCTCGAGTGGAGCTCTCAAGCACTACTGTAGCCGCTGGAGTGAAAGTATGAAAGTTATGGAGGAAAGATGAAAAAAAAAAAAAAAAAAAAATGGATGAAAGGACATATTAAACTAAACCAATTAAGAATGGGTCAATTTGTAATACAAGTTTGACCACCATGGTCCATAGCCCAAGTTTTTGACCACCATAGTCCATAGCCCATAGGACTTATTAATATGCAGGTCATATACATATTAGAAATCTTTGTTTTACTATTAGAGTTCCTGAGTTAGTATCACAAATTAATTTAATATTAATTTCCATTTAAATTAATAAGATTTCTGCTGACAATAATATTATGCCATAAAACTTTTCCAAGAAACGTGAGGAAAATTACAGAGATTTAAATTCCAACCCAGAAAGTATCTGAAATATTTCTAGCAAAAAGGAATGAGAATTCTGCCACTCAATAAATAAAGAAAAAGGCCATGACATGAATCTTTACGATTGGTATTTACCTATCTACAACTTATCTATCATGTTCATGTTCTTCAAAATGGTATTAGAACCACTCCGCCGGCTGAGACTGTGTTGGTGGTATTCGGTGTTCACTCCTTAGGACCTCAGGTAGATGTTTGTATGTTCTTCCTATAACGCAAGACCCTTCTAAAACACCAAACGATTGTATGAAAGATTATTGTATCCTCAAGGACAACAATCCCTTCAAGAAGTCGCGAGTTGTGTGTTTTACGGGCATTGGGGCTCACAGAGTTAACACTGTAACCTCCGTCGGGGATTTTTCTAGACAAGCCTGGCCTGGTGATTTTTCCGACGCAAAAGAGAAATTGTAATTTGGGATGCAGAGTTTGTGTTTTACACACAGATCGCGTATATGTATAGTCATATATACATCAGCTCACCAAAATTTATATGAAAAATGCCAGCACTAATATAACATATCATATCATACACGCTAAATAAACATATTTTGATCTCCATTTTACTAGATAATCCTATCCACTTTGTGTTTAAAAAAAACATATTACTGGTAGATAAGAATTTATTCAAACATTTTGTAAGCAATTCCCTAAGTACCTTATTTGAGGACTTAATGAGCAAAATCTACAAAGGCACAAAGACAAGTCCACTCAAATAAACATTTGCTGTAACCTCTAGAATACCAGATTGAGGAGCATCACCGAATATTCCGAAACATAGAACGTTTATTTAGTGTCTTCGATGTGCAAAAATCTTTTAGAAATATGTAGTTTGCTGATCTTTCACCACATTAATCCTCTGTAAAGGTTAAAAGCCAGGAATAATCCATAATTCCTGGCTAATTTATTGTTCCTGAACTAATCTCAGACCCTCTTTGCTCCAAATGTTCCTGACTAATATATCTTTCAAGTCGTCCGCTATAAGAACAAAGGCTTCCACGTTTGTAAGCGCCTTAACGTTTCTGGTTGAGATGGGAGGTTGGCTGTGGGAGGATGACCCCGAGCCCAAGAAACAAGCTCATCTCCAAAGTAGTCACCATCTTTTAGATGATAATTTTCACTTTCGAAATGATTCATGGAAGTGTAGGTCCATAATTTTCCCTGTAGCACGAAGAACTCTCATCAATTGGGTCTCCTCCCTCACAATCCGAGTGCGTCAGTTAGAAAACTGGCTTCACACGATCACAGAGATGCCACAATGTTGGCTCACTCCAATTTCCAAACTCCTCTACCTTCACATTCAGAATAAGTATAAGAATACATCAAGAATATTGTAAAGTACATCAATTCTAGCGGAAGGAACGCACTTTCTTGAGCAATTCTAAGCAAAGTTCTTGTTTATCATCTGTACGAGGTAGTCAGGAAGAATATCGAGCAAATTTTCTAGATTAACACCTATGGTTTCCTGCCAAGCATATTGCCGAAAGTACTTTCCACCTGCCGTCGGAGATATCTGATAGCTTTTGGAGGGCTTCCATTGTTTTATCTCTTTCAACTTCCGTTTCATCTCCTCTTGTCTTATAGTCTCTGACTGTAAATATACCTGTTTCGGAAAATGCGCTAAAGAGATTGAAATTCAGAGTGCTTCATTCCATTGAAATTAACAGACGAATAAAAAATACCAACCTGCATCCTTGCAATTAGAAAGAAAAACAACAAAACTCCAGTCAAGGTAATCGAAATTATATGATATTTTCCTCGAAGTCAGTACCTGTACTAAGGACTGGCCGAAACTACTGCAGAATACAGATATATCAGACATCGATCTAAATATTAATTGAACAGGAAAGGTATATCACATGAACAAACCTCAGATTCTGCAGGCCCCATCTAAACAATAAAAAATCTTTATTCTATAGTCTGTTGTATGAAGATCATCATACTATGGCATCCTTGTAGATTCCAAAATTGTAATTAGTTGTATTAATTCCTTCAGGCAAACATTTTTTAGATATTTGGTTTGGTCACAATAAGGAGGAACATGAAGTGTGCATCCGGTCAGATTTTTGAAGCCAGCCTCCCAAAATTCAGTCTCTCTGCCTAGGCTGTGTAATACCACAAGGCTCCAAACATCTAAATGACCAGAAATGAATCAAATCAACAGTTGATTGAACATAAATCAGAGAAAACATAATAAGAATTGACTTACATGACTTGCATACATATAACTTAACATGAAAACAGCAGCCCATTCACTAAAGGTGCCTGAAGTCCTCCTCTCTGTAAGTAATGTGGCCACTCGGATTGACCTTAGCGCATGTGAACAATTAGGACGTCTAGGGCATTCCAGATACACTTCTTTCTCGTGCTTTGAAACATAGATAAATCACAATCATCTGAAAAGTTTTGATGCTCGCAAAAGAAAAAGAGTTACTTGATAATTTGCCTTACTTTATAGAGAAATCAGAATGGAAACAAATTAGAATTAGCTGTAAAAGAAATTTCCAAACCTGTGGAAGAGGAAAATGGCCACAAGGTCCATGAAGAAACGTATCCTCGCAGTTTATATAAATTAATCAGTCCCGAAGTTGAGTGTAATGGAATATATAAATAAATCAAAGACCGAACGGAGGAGGGTGGCAGCAATCCCCCAACTTTTCTCCACGCTAATGCACCTTTTCTCATCATTGATCACACGAGTGTAGAAGAACATGGATCCAAAAATGCTGCAGTCATACATAATATAGGCAATCTCATTAGCACAAGGCCCCTGAGGATCAATGATTAACTTCGCATAAAACAAGCTTTTCTTCACAATGCTACAACAAGATTTTGGAAGTTCTTCGGTGCTTTATGTTTGAGTAATTCCCTTTTGTTAAGTTTCCTTGCTGTACCTTCCTCTAAAGCAAGAGACCTGATCAATTCATACTTACAATTGAGAGTATCCACTACAATTTAGAGGATGAAGCAAATCATTATGAAATATACTTACATGATTAATGATGTCAAGGTTCCGAGAAGAAGAACAAGCTTTGAATTATATTTCTGCGGATTCCTTCAATCGGAGAATCTCACAGATGATCACTGAAATGGGATATGATTTCTATCAAGTTCATTGGAAATATGATTAAATTATTAAAGAAAATCTCAGCAAGATGGTATTACGAATAACTAATTAGCTGCTCTGTTGATTTATGATTTAAAGTATCTGTACGTAAAATATTGCCCCATTTTGGTTGGCGATAGCATCAAAAGAACTTTGATATTAATTCTTCCAAAAATGGAATTATAATGTTGAATTTTAATATTCTTCCAGCTGAGGCATATCCAGCAGAGTGTAGAAAAAAGAGAAAAGTATAGTTAGTGGCCCGACTCTAATGGTTGTTCCAGAGTAGCTGAAAGAATAATATTTTATGCAAAAAAGGCATATAAGATTTGCATGTCACTTAAAACAATAAAAAGCGATTGGGCAGAGTTGCCATAGTGAGGAAATTCTTAGATTAAAAGCGATTGGAGATGGTCCACCTCACGCAAAGAATATTTGATCCAATGAGACTGTATTCACACACATACTAATGATTTTTTCCTCCAAATTGGAGCATGCAATGACTGATTCTTTAGTTAACTAGAAATATATGTTATTTTTGTTCATATTTTAATATTCATCTAGTTCAGAATTATTGTAGTAAACTTAGTCTAAATTGCCAGAAGAGTATAATATAAAGAAATAATAACAGGTCTTACTAATTTCTTAAATAACAAATAAAGTATCTAACTCAAATGTCGAATCTTTAAAAACAAAGCAAGCATAAAACTTTTAATTATGTCTTTATAACTTATCTGGGTTTCCATAGGGGTGAGCAAGTCCAAGTACCCGCTTAAATCAAAGGAACTGGAATCGACGGTTTTTTAGATTTGGAATCGGAACCAGAACCAGAACAAAACCAACCGGTTGGTTCTAGTTCCTAGAAATCTAGAATGGAACCTGAAATATAAGTTTCGATTTCGGGTACCTGGGTAATTTAATACCCCTACTTTTTTAAAAGACAAAAACCCTTAAAAATTCTCATACACGCCAATAGTTGCAAAAATACAAATACACCTCAAATGTATCCATGGCAGTAACTTAGTGGAAAAGACAATGGCAGCGTTTGTTTATGTACAATTATTATTATTTTTTGAATCGTGAGCATGATTTCCTGTGATATGGAGGTCATTAATTATTCCGGTCAATTACCCTACCCAGGTTTCTTTCAATGGATTTATAGTAAATTCAAAATCTACAAGTTCATGTGCAAAACCATGTAAAATATTATCTTTGGAAGATTGATAGAATAGCTTGAAATTAAGGAGATAGGCTGTCTAAATAAAACCCAGTACTCATACACCAAATTTAAATGTCAAACATACAATTCGTTTATCAAATCAGCAGTAATCACTACCAGAACTCGATAAAACATTAATTTGACGGGGCAGCATCATGTGATGATATAACTTGTCAGCCAGAATCAAATGTCCGGGTGGATTTTCCTCGGTTCCGTCTACGATGACGCCAGGTAGATTGTGTGACACTAGCACTGTGAGACCTAGTGGGCAGTTTATGAAAGTTCGAAAGCTGATACTTTGCAAATATATTTTTCAGGTCATCAGCCATAAGAGCAAAGGCTTCTAGCCTTTTTTTTTTTTTTTTTTTTGGTTGGGTAAACCGATAATTTCATTAAAAATAAAGAATACAAAGAAAGAGGTAACCTCACAAAAGGATCATCTTGGACAAGACCAAGAGAGAAACACAAGAGGTAGGGGCCACATCAAAAACAAGCCCCGAAGGACAAAATAACATAAGGCCACTATAAACAAAAGAAGGCCACTATACCAAATGTCTATAACAGTATGCATCATAAAGCAACAAGAAAAGATCCATATCAAGCAACTGGGATATCCCATCTTTGAATTTAAGAGACAATAACCGCAATCTAACTTCTCCATATATAAGTTTTTCAAGAGCTTCCCGGCTTCTTCTTTGACCTTAGAAAAGTCTGAAGTTCCTTTCTTGCCAAATAATGTAAATAGATGCCCCAAAAAGTAATCTGTTGATGAAAGGCTTCTACTTTTGTAAGCGCTTGAATAGCTCTGGTTGAGATAGGGAGGTTGGAGGAGGAGGAACATACCGAGCCCAAATCTCAAGTTCTTCTCCACAGATGTCACCATCTTCCAAATGATCTTTTTTTAGTTTGTGATAATAATTGCTGGTGTAGCCTATTGTTCTATTCTTGGAAGTATGTGTCCATAGCGAGCCTTGAACTACGGAGAGTATTTCATCAATTGGGTCTCCCTCCCGAACAATGTAAGAGCCCTCAATATAGAAAACTGGCTTCACACAATCACAAAGTGTGTCCAATGTTGCTTCACTCAACTTTACAAAATCTTCTACCTTGATGTATACACATTAGAATCAAAATCTACTCAAACTTCGAACAAATAGGTAAAAGAGGCATGCACTTTGTCACCATGTTAAAAAAAAAATTGATAACCAATGATTTAAACTCTCTTGAAGGTAAAAAGGAACTAACTTTTTTGACTAATTCCAAGCACAGTTCGCTCTTTATTTTCCACCTGAGGTCCTTAGGGAGATTATTGAGCAAATTTTGTACATCAACACGCCATATTTATCGTTGATATTTCTTAACATGATAAAGTAAATAGGGGAGACAGTTTCGGGTACCTTGTATTTCTGAGGGAACCAAACCGGAACCGCACAGTACAAGTTCCCAAAAAAGGAACCGGAACCGGAACCGCACAGTGCAGGTTCTTCAATCAAGGAACCGGAACCTAAAATGCAGGTTCTGGTTCCTTTCCAGGTACCTATAAAAACATCAATTACGTTTAAAAAAGACAAAAATACCTTAAATTACAAATACACCCTTAACAAATTTTGATTATTCATTCATTTGTGTCCACTGTCCAATGTAACTCATAACATGTAATCTCTAAGCAACACTTGATTCAATCAATTCATCACAATTCACAAAATTCGTCAATCAAACCAAACACAAACAATTATTCTCACAATTCACATCAAATAATTTCACCAAAATCATTCAATTTAGAATGGAGAAGAAAACAAAAGTAGACAACGAGAAGAAGATGGCAGGTCTAGAGAGAATGGAGAGGAATTTGTCAATTTGAGATCCCTAATCGAATTGGGTATTTTGCTTTGATTGTAAATATAAAATTACAAGATACCACCTTATTTTACTAATTTCTAACATTGCCACTGGTCTATAAGTAATTTGCCAGGGGCTATTGATAAATAATAGACCCCATTACATTAGTTTACAATAGTTAATAAATTATTAATGTTTATAAATTTTATTAATTTAATGTTATAATTGGCCAATTGGGTTATTATATATACTAATTATAATTTATAATTTAATATTAAAATTAGATGTTTATAATGTAATATAACATGTGGTAATTAATAAGTAATTTATATATTAATATGCATGTTATAATTAATTAGTGATCATACTATAATGTAATGTTATAAAATCTTATATTATTAAGTAATTATGAACAATAATGTATGTTATAATCATTAAATTTCTATAATTTATATTACTATGTTTAATGTTTATAATGTATGTCATAATTATTAAGTAATAAGTAATCATTTAATTGTGTAATGTTATAATTAATTAGTGATCATACTACAATGTAAATTATAGGTTATAATTAATTAAGTAATATACATATAATATAATGTATATTAATTAATTAAATTGTTAATCATTTAATTAAGTATTGAATATTGTTTATAATAGAATGTTATAATTAATTAAATAATCATACCATAGTTTTAATGTAAGTTTAAATATAAAATCTATAACTTAATTAAGTATTGTGTAAATTAAATATAC